ATGTGGGACTGAACATGTCATTTGAGTCATCGGTGTAGCATTTATGTGGCATATTCTTGTTGTTAGCACTATATATCAATAAAGTGCACATTAAATGGATTCAGAGCTATGTAACTAACATCTAAAAAAATAATTGTCTATGGGGAATCATTGGATGGGGGAATTTCTAATGAATTCCTCGGACTGTCCTTTGACCCATAGCAATTCGATATTTTGGCAATCGTCTTTATGTAAATATGAAATCAGGGCTGATGATAAAGTTTTCATTGACAAAGATTAGGAGGGGGTGAATAGTGAGGAGGATGGGAAAGTTGTAAAGAACAATCTGTACTTCTTGGTAAACTGGGCTTATAAGCAGCTGGGTTCCCTCTCCCTTGTGGCCAAAGCCCTGTCTTTTCCTTTCTGCCCTCTCCCACTTCCCTCACAGAAACCCAGTGACCCCCACCCATAGCCTCTGATCCCAGGACCAAGGCAGCTTGGGGGAGAGGCCCCACTCCCAGTGTGCCAAGCAGCACAGCCTCAGTGCCCCCAGTCCCTGGGCAGTGTGGTCTCTATGCTCCCCCGCCCCATTACTGGTTCTCCAGACAGTCAGAGCAGTTGTTGTGCTCCTTCCCCCCACCCGCCCCAACCCTGATCTGAGTACTGGAATAGCAGTGCAGCCCCAGCACCAGCTGACCAACTCCTTGAGGAAGAGAGGCTGGTAAGCTCCAACCTGCCTGGCCAGAGGTAGAGAATGGGTGAGGCCAGGGAAGGCTGTTTGCTGAGGCACAGCCTCCACCTGTCTATGATACCTGCTGCCCATGGCTGGAATCATGCAGACAACATGCATTTAACTAACACACACACACACACACACACACACACACACACACACACACACACACACACACACACACACACACGTCATATCTAGGAACAAGGAATGCTGACTATAACCACAGAATGAGGGTCTGTATCCTGGAAAATATTACACCTGGAAAGGATTTAGGGGACAAACCAGTCAAAAAAACTGAACCAGGAGCTCTTCCACTGTTATGGCAAAAAGGGCTAATATGATGCTAGGATGTATATATAGAGGAATAGTGAGGAGGAGGAGGAGGGGTGATTTTACCTCTGCACAGGGCAGAGATTGATCCTAGAATGCTGCATAGAGTTCTAGTGCACATATTTTTAGAAGTATATTGAAACATTGGAGGTAAACAAAAAAAAAAAAGCAAAAAAACATCTAAAAACCCAACAACCCTACTCAATTGACTCAAAGGCTGGAGAGAATGAGGGTACGTCTACACTACAGCGCTAATTCGAACTAACGTGTCTAGAACTAAAAACTAGTTCGAATTAGCGTTTTGCTAATTCGAACTAGCATGTCCACATTAAGTGGACCCTGAACCGGGGTTAAGGATGGCCGGAAGCAGTGCCGGCAGCGCATCAGAGGAGGACTTAGAGCATGGAGATGCTGTCTCAGGCTAGCCGAGGGCTGCGCTTAAAGGGACCCGACCCCCACCCCGGACAGAGAGTTCTCAGGGGTGCCCTGCTTGCAAACCAGTCCTGGCTTGGAGTGCCCAGAGTGCCCACACTGGGCACATCACAGCACTCGGCCATCAGCCCGGCTGCACTTGCCGCAGGCTGCCATCTGGGGAGAGGGGGCAATTGGGGGGCTGCAGGAGAGCTTCCACCCCCAGAAGCCCACAGAGCCAGCCCAGTCCTCCCCATCGGGGGCTCGTACCCCATTCCTCCCTCACCTCCTTCCACTTACCCTTCCCTAGCTCCTTTTCTTGATGTACAAAATAAAGGAGAATTGTGTTCAAAAATGGAATCTGTCTTTATTGAACAAAACTGGGGGAGACTGGGAAAAGGAGGTGGGAGAGGGGAAGAGAGAGGGTAGGAGAGGGGAGGGCAACTACAATGATCAGGGGTTGGGAACAGGTCCCATATGAAGAGAGGCTAAAGAGACTGGGACTTTTCAGCTTAGAAAAAAGGAGGAGGGGGGACAGGATAGAGGTCTCTAAAAGCAGGAGTTGGGTAGAGAGGGTGCATACAGAAAAGTTCTTCATTAGTTCCCATAAAGAAGGACTAGAGGACACCAAAGGAAAGGAATGGGTAGCAGGCTTCAAACTAATAACAGAAAGTTGTTCTTCACAAAGCAAAGAGTCAACCTGTGGAACTCCTTGCTGCAGGAGGCTGTGAAGGCTACAACTAGAACAGAGTTGAAAGGGACGTGAGATCAAGTGATGGTGGTTGGGTCCATGGAGTGCTATTAGCCAGGGGGTAGGAGGGGTGTCCCTGCCCAAGGTTTGTGGAAGGCTGGAGAGGGATGGCACGAGACAAATGGCTTGGTCACTGTCTTCGGTCCATCCCCTCCAGGGTCCCTAGGGTTGGCCGCTGTCGACAGACAGGCTACTGGGCTAGATGGACCTTTGGTCTGACCCAGGACGGCCATTGTAAGCTCAGGGCTCAGGGTCGGGGGTCTCAGTGGCCCCCCTTGATTTTCATGCACACCTGCTCCTGGGTGGCCAGGCTGGCAGGTATCCTGCCCTAGACGGCCTCTTTCCTGTGCCTAGTGCGGAGATCGTGGACAAAGTCCACGATGTCCGCACTAGCCCAGGCGGGTGCCTGCCTCTTGCAGTCTCGGGCAAGCTCCCGGGAGCCACCAGCCTGGTCCCGGGAAGAGGGGGAGGGCTGGGGGGGCATCGGGTGGCTGGCTCGAGCCGTGCCAGGTGCAGGGTCTGCTGGCTGGGTGCTGGCAGGCTTGCACCTGGCACAGGCACTGTAGCCAGCCCGTGCCCCCTTAAGGGGTCCGGGGCCGGGAGGGGGGTAATAGAGTTTCCCTGGTGTGGGCCAGAGTGGCCACCAGGGAAACCTGGGGAGGGCTAGCCTCCCACTAGTTCGAATTAAGGGGCTACACACCCCTTAATTCGAACTAGCTAGTTGGAACTAGGCTTAATCCTCGTAAAATGAGGTTTTCCTAGTTCGAACTAAGCGCTCCGCTAGTTCGAATTAAGTGTAGTGTGGGATGAAGTTCTATGGCTGCTGTTACTCAGGAGCTCAGACTAGATCTCCCATGGTTTTTACTGACCTTAAAACCTACAAATCTATGGCATATTTCATTAGCATGTGAGCAGCTGCATCATATAAGCATTGAACTTCTAAGGTCAGCCTTGCGCACAGCCTTTTACTCTGAGGGGAGGAGAGAAAGAAGAGCATAAATCCCTATAATCTAGAATTGCATTCATTCCGAGTATATGGTGATGAACATGGTCATGGGCACGAATATTTATGGCAACAACAAACCATCAGTTTTGGAGAATATTCACAGACAGTGAATGTTTTGTATACTAACATGAATAATTAGAGCAGAAATCTGATTTGAGAATTTTGCTTTTCCAATCAGGAAACAGAAACATGCCATGTAATCCACATGTCCCAGAAAAACTAACAACTTGAATTTTCAATTTCTGATGACAGGCGATATAAATACTCCACAAAAGTCTACTCATTGAACAGATTTCAAACTAAGAGCTATTTTGGCCATTATTTATAGATTGATGGTTTGGAAGAAAAATGTAGTCAGTTCATGGAGAGCTTAAAAATATAAAGGTATGAAAGTCCCATAATAAATTCATTGCTAATCATTCTCTCGTATCTACCAGCTATTTATTACAGAGCCTGGATCTTGCAAAACACCCATGACTGAGTTAAATTCTCTTTCAGTTTTCAACCTTAATAAACAGTCATACATATAGAGATCAAATAGTGTCTTCTTTTAACTATTTTATAAATCTAACGAACAGGAAACATGATACACTTGACATACAAGTTACTTTTCTGTGCTAGAAAATTGCTTTGCCGTGATACAAAATCATTCTTTACTGAGCACTTTGCAATAAATTTAAGATCCATCTATTTTAACAGTGTTGGTACAGTTGAGAAAAAAAAACTTTCTTTAATAAGGATAAAAACAAACAGTAGAAAGCTGCCTGTATAAAGTTACACTAAAGTTACACTAAAGTTAATATTGAGAGTACATATTGGCAATTTACAAGATTATTGAAAATTATCCAAAAACCCAAACATTACAAACTCTGAAATTCAGTGTTCAGGTTAAATATAAAAGAAATGCAAGCAAGTTAGTGGGTGAATGCATATTAAGACAGCCTAACAACTTTAAATCTGCTGTATAGCGGACAGGAAATGAAAGTCTGATCTACACTTAAAATCAGATTAACCTAATCTCTGACCACAAATACTAAAATATCTTAAATCATAATTGCAAGGTTATTACATGGCATCACTACATCACAGAACTAAAGTTTAATTTACTTATGTACAATGTCAGGTACATTAAATACTAATTTAATCTAGACTTAATTTAACCCAATCTTCTTTGTGAGGGTACACAATTGGGTTTTTTTCTTTTCTACAACAAGCAATTGTGCCTTTAGAGGAGTGGATGTTTCAAGGACTGGTAATGGGGTACACTCTCAGTTCTGGACATCAGTTTTACGCTAGTGGAGGCAGGTAATGAACCAAATCTACTGGCAGGGAAAAGTGAGGAATGCTGGGCAGCTGCACTACTGTAGCTGCTCTGGAGTCAGAGAACTTCAGTCTCCAGACCATGATATCAGCAAGTTATATAAGTAATTAAGTTAATTAATAAATTGCAATAAACTCTGCTGCACTACAGGAAGAACCAACACCTTGCTGGAGCTGCTTGTGTAATTTGCCATCGTTGCAAAGGTGAAGCAAATAGAATCCAAGTACAAGAACTAGGGAAAATGAGGGCATCACTCACAAATATAAACTGGGTTCAAACTGGCACTTCCTTGAGAGAGATAGAGGGGTAGTGAAACATGGATGAGAAAACCCTCATCTTTCAGGTGCTAACTCTCTAAACAGGGGAAAGGGTGTTCAGGAGATGACTTCCCTTCTTCAGCAAGAGACTTGAGTACCTGGTCATGAATTTTCCTCCTGATAAAGACGAGACAGACAGATTGATTTACCTTTGTTCCCTGGTAGAAGTCATCTTTGGACTGGGTGCCCATGAAGGGGAACTGCATGTGTGTGTGGGTGTCAATCCCCCCAGGTAGCACCAGTTTGTTGCAGGCATCTATCACAAGGAGCCCAGCAGATGTCCCAGGCTGCAGGTTCGGTCCCACTGCCTGCACTACACCATCCTCCACATATACATCAGCCAGCTGTGAGTAGTCCTCATTCACCACTTTCCCCCCTTGGATCAAAATCCTCTGCTGTAGGGGAGCCATCACTTTTGCTGCAGGGTCCTTGCAAGTGTGGGCAGCAGAGGGGCTTGAGCTTTGAGAGCAAAGGAGCAGTGGCACTGTTAGGCACTAGATTCAGCCTTCTCTTCTGTAGGAATATAGC